ACATGCAGATATCATTTTAGAAAGAAATGTTTTAGAAATGCTTTTCAAGGCCAAACTCTCATGCATTATACTGCCATTTTGTTTGTTTGTTTGTTTCTATTTTAAATATAGGAAAATATGCATTAAAAAACTGCAAAACAGTTTAAAAGAATGCATTGGTATGCATTGGTTGGCAAGCAGTTTATTTAAGCAGTTATCACTTTTCACAGGAAAAGCAAAAGCATGAATCTTTTTTTTTAAAGGGGTCATATGATGTTGCTAAAAAAACATTATTTTGTGTATTTGGTGTAATGAAATGTGTTTATGTGGTTTAAGGTTCAAAAAACACATTCTTTTCCACATACTGTACATTATTGTTTCTCCTCTATGCCCTGCCTTTCCGATTTTTACCAAGCTCATCGGTCTGAAAAGCGAGGTGTGCTCTGATTGGCCAGCTATCTAGTGCGTTGTGATTGGCTGAATACCTCAAGCGTGTGACGGAAATGTTACGCCCCTTGCCTTATTGTGATGCCTTGTCCCAGCCGGCACGACGAGACAAAAACATTAAAACCCATTATAAACTAGGCAATTGTTGCGTCCAGTGGGGACATAATTACGGATTATAATGACTTATACTGTCTTTTTATGCGTTGCATTGCCTCGCGCCACGTAAACATAAAACCATGTCTGCATTTGTGATCGGAGAAATGACAAACAACAAGTGCTACTCTACACTGCTCAAAACTCGCGTTTGAATCGTCAGTGGCAAATTCTTTAAATATAAAAAACTTACTTAGAGTCTGTGAGTCAGAACAGCTGGCATTGGATATCGTCCTCTTTTGGAAGACCAAACAAAGTAGTTTCACTTTCACAACGAAACACACAGCGCCTTCACGACATGGCGGCGGTGGCAACAACAATACTACAGTGAGAATAAAAGTTATGCCTTCTTTCTTTGCGTGAACATTTGGGCGGCAATTTTGGGTTATGCAAATCTTCCCACATAGTGAGGTAGATATGTGGGGGCGTGTTCCTACATAATTAATCACACTCCATCTCCCATAGACATGAGAGGGATGGACTCAGGGCATGTAGGAGAGGGAGAAACTAAATTGAATTAAAACCAATACAATGCAGTGTACACGAGCACAGTGTGAGAAGTGCCTGCTCAGCAGACTGAATATGGCCACGACACTGTGCAGGATTCATTTCAAGTAAAAACTAAAATTGAAGCGGAAAGGCTGCTCGTCAGTTTAGAGCGATGAGGGTTTCTGCTGACAGCTGAGTTTCAGTTCCTCCCTGCTTTTAAATGTACCAGCCGCAGCTGTCAGTGGAGCTTTATCGGTCCATATGAGGAGGTGAGGCAGGTCTGACTGTGTGTAATGAGCTGCAAATCAAACAGAAGCCTCTCTAGGGTTTGAGATTCAGTTGCAGAGAGCCACCGTTTCATGCAAGTGGGGCCATGTGGTACAATCCAGCAGCACTTCACTTGAATATCTTAATATGCTGGAGCTCAAGATTGCACAGATTAGAGTGCTGAAACCACATGCAGATATCATTTTAGAAAGAAATGTTTTAGAAATGCTTTTCAAGGCCAAACTCTCATGCATTATACTGCCATTTTGTTTGTTTGTTTGTTTCTATTTTAAATATAGGAAAATATGCATTAAAAAACTGCAAAACAGTTTAAAAGAATGCATTGGTATGCATTGGTTGGCAAGCAGTTTATTTAAGCAGTTATCACTTTTCACAGGAAAAGCAAAAGCATGAATCTTTTTTTTTAAAGGGGTCATATGATGTTGCTAAAAAAAACATTATTTTGTGTATTTGGTGTAATGAAATGTGTTTATGTGGTTTAAGGTTCAAAAAACACATTCTTTTCCACATACTGTACATTATTGTTTCTCCTCTATGCCCTGCCTTTCCGATTTTTACCAAGCTCATCGGTCTGAAAAGCGAGGTGTGCTCTGATTGGCCAGCTATCTAGTGCGTTGTGATTGGCTGAATACCTCAAGCGTGTGACGGAAATGTTACGCCCCTTGCCTTATTGTGATGCCTTGTCCCAGCCGGCACGACGAGACAAAAACATTAAAACCCATTATAAACTAGGCAATTGTTGCGTCCAGTGGGGACATAATTACGGATTATAATGACTTATACTGTCTTTTTATGCGTTGCATTGCCTCGCGCCACGTAAACATAAAACCATGTCTGCATTTGTGATCGGAGAAATGACAAACAACAAGTGCTACTCTACACTGCTCAAAACTCGCGTTTGAATCGTCAGTGGCAAATTCTTTAAATATAAAAAACTTACTTAGAGTCTGTGAGTCAGAACAGCTGGCATTGGATATCGTCCTCTTTTGGAAGACCAAACAAAGTAGTTTCACTTTCACAACGAAACACACAGCGCCTTCACGACATGGCGGCGGTGGCAACAACAATACTACAGTGAGAATAAAAGTTATGCCTTCTTTCTTTGCGTGAACATTTG